TTCCGGTTCGGCAGCTGCTGGTGGCTAGGTTGCTGCGCTTGCCGCTGCTGCTGCTCAATTGGGCCTGCTTTATGTGGTCTGCCAAAACGCAGGAAGTTGAGGATGGGACGCAGATCAGCAAAGTGGTTGGACTCCACCAAGCGGTCGGCCTCATCGAAGACGACCACTCGCGCTGCCTCTAGTGTCATCACGTAGGAGTGTTCCTGAAATGCAGGCCGGTGAAGAGTACAACAAACGGAGACAGAGTCCTCATTGTAGATGCGATTGTAAGTGTTAGGACGGCCTAACGAACAACCTTAGCAAGGAGTAGCTTGCAAGCGATAGCCACATTCAAAGCAGGCTTTCGATCAGTCTACACGGGCCTACAAGCCGTCAATCAATCGATAATTTAAAATTCAATTGAATGTCAGCCCGTTCAGGCAACCAAGGGTTGGTGCAGCGTGTAATACATACGGGATCGTTGGTATTAGGGGGTTTCTGGGTAGGGCTTCAACCTAACCCCTCTACACACTGTGCTCGTTAGAGTTAGCATTCGTCGTCGGGTTAGCAGGGTCGCACCGTAGGTTGTTGCGCCGAAAGGTTGCCGTGCTTGTGTGACAGCCGGCGGCTTTTTACGTCACATCGATCTCTCTATGTGCCATGACATTCTTAGCTTACTTGATCCACCTTTTTTACGGACCCTCGACATAAGGAAGAATTAGGCTGAATCTGCGCCATCCCTTATTACTACCACAGTAAAACTGAAAATTACTGTGGCGTCCTGATAGTCGCCGCTTGGAAATTTGCCAATTGACTCGGTAAACCGGTCCTTTTATGGCCAAGAAGTTATTGTGGCCTTGCTAACCAGACAACGAACGCTAACCCTAACAGATAGTTGACCTCAGGATGGAGTGTAGAACGTTTGATTTCTATTGAATTTGCAGAGCAACGAACTGTAGGCATGGTTGATTTTAGTGGTTTCCGAAACAAAAAAGGGGGGAATAGTTTAATAAACATACCAATTGTCAAACAGGGCTTCACTGAGATACTACGGTTTGCCTGTAGCATTTACAAGCTACTAATCCACCTAATACTAAATGTCCAGAAAAGCAATATAATAGGTACCACTTTTGATTTCTTTTGCGGAGCATTTGGGATCAAAATAATCGGAATAAACCCGCATTAGGCGATGGTGGATAGAAATTAAGATGAAAGTAGTTACTAGATGGAGGAATTCCCACAAGCGTCCCGGGGTGGCAACAATGACATCCGGTTGTCTCTTTAAGAGGCGAGTTTGCTTCTGAATTGCGATTCCACCAACCAAAGCTTGTATACCAACGGGGGGCTGC